TAAAAATAATGAAATATATTCGCCTCCTGCTACTCATACTCAACATTTGTCAAAACATGGAGCAAGTACAAACAATAGGGATTTGCAGGTATAGCATTAATGGATGTCATTCTTTTTGTAGAAGACTATGCCTGTTGTGTTTACTGTGGAACATTATGACATTTATTCTATCAAAACATGCACTTCAAAGCCCGGTTTGAATCCAGCTAAGTAAATACTAAGCACTTCTGTTGCTCTCTTGCACAGCTTTGATCTGATCCATTAAGACCCATTAATGACTTTTGTTTCTAATATTTATTCATTAGCATGCTGACAATCCATTTATTAGATTAAGCCCTAAACAAACACACCATTTAATTCACAATGATGATTTAATTAAACATTACATAAAGATTTAAATACTTTACAGAAATGCTGTTTTCTGTGCACTAAAGTACTGGGGAGAAAGAAGCCTGTCATATTTCCCGATTGTTGTTTTATCATTTTTTTCCCTTATCTAAATAAGTAAAAGGACACCTAGACATCTCTTTCTTGCTCATGTGTAAGTCGCTGGATAAAAGTGTCTTCTAAATGAATTCAGTAAATGTACAAACGCAATGATCTGAGGTAAGTCTATTTGTAACACGTTAGATTAAATGGTTTGAGAAGACCACATTAGTTGATTTGAAGACCATCAAGTACTTCCATAAAGAAAGATATGCAATTATTTGCCCAAATAAATATGTTTAGTCATTTTGCAATTTGAAGTAAGTTCATCTAATTAGATTTGATTACAGCTTTGCAGTCTGTTGCTGTTTGAAATATAATTTTAGGGTTTAGATGGAGCACATGTTCACATCAGAAAATAACATGAGACTCACTGCGGGGTTCGCTCATGGTGACCGACTCGATGAAGTTCTGAGGAGTCATGTACAGCTGTCCCTCATACTCCACTGAGCTGAAGAGACGGAAACGATGCTCATGAGACGACATGTACACGTCACTTTCATCAAAATCAAACAGTGGAGCCTGCAAGAACCAATGACGGGCAATACAATTTGTTAATATCTCTATTTTTCAAAGCCATTGTCTTTATCTCTGTAAATTCATGAATCACAAACTAAAAGGTTAGTGTTGAATGGCTAATTATTATTTGTTGTGAAACTGTATTTGTTCAGTCAGGTTGAATGGATGATATCTCTGAAAGACATCAAAAGGTCAATAAAAGGCATCATGTTTAATTGTTATGCCCTTTTGTGTCATGAAACTGAAGATTTTACTGGTACACTTGTGCATCATTGCTATATGGCACAGATTGATAACTGAATCAAAATATCTAATTTAAGATATAGATATTAAAATACTAAAATATTTAGATTGTATTTATAACTACAAATAAAATTTGAAACACTTGAATGAATTTTAAAATAACTTTTTAGAAGCATACAAGCATAACATAAGTATGTATTTAAATAACACTTGAAAAATACATTGATTTTATATGTACGGAAACATAATCTTTTATGTCCATGCATTAGATTAAGTAAAAGAAAAGTTTTATTTAATGTAGTAACAGGCACACACAGGGAATGGAAGAACTTGAACTGCAAAGTTTCCACACCAGTCAGGAAAACATTTAGTTACTAAGTGGAACAGTCAGACCAAAACATCTGGCAGCCCATGGAAACCAAACCTGACTGTCTGCCAAAGGAACAAAAATCCCAAAAATATGTTTATATGCACGTGCCAAAGAATTCTGTACTTAGACATGACAGCTCAACGCTGATAGGGTACAGATTACTGTTTGACAGGCCTCTATGATACAGCACAGATAGTACAGATAAGTACATAGCTGTTTTATCCAACCGTAACGCTCGGATATGTGATCTGAAACGTGCGCGCAGTCATTTCAGCACCATGACCGAGGAAAGCGCCCTTCTTCCTGCTGCAGCATCACACAAACGCGCATTGGCATCCAAGCGTTATGACTGTTTGTGTGCGCAAGCAAAACAATTCACCAAACTCTACAGCATGAAAGCCTAATAACAGTGCACAATCCCTGTCCGACTAGCAGTTGCATAGATTTGACGCCAGGAAAAAAAGCACTAATAGGAAGCAGTGTTACGTGGCACTGAGAACAGTGGGAACAGTCATACCTTCTCCTTGGCGGCTACAGCGGGTAGTGAAGGCAGCAGAGCCCGACAGCCTATTCCATTCATCGGGGCTTTCCTCCCTCTGAATCCGCACATTTCTGAATAGTAATAATACAACACCGCTCCTCCGGCCGCAACGCCCACAGCAACTGCTATTCCTCGGCGTATGCATCGGTTATCCTTGACCGGAGAACGAAAAAGCGCATTCCGTGTAGCTGACGACAGCGACAAACTCCTAAATATGACTCCTAGACTGCGCACAGCGGCCATTGTTGTAGGTATGACAGAATTTGTGCAAGATTCTCGAGTTCTCATGCATTCATCGCGAGATGTGCTGCTCCCTCACCGGGATTACCCAGACCAGAGAAACAGCAAGTCCAATAAAGTATGCCAATTTACATGAAAAATGTACACTATGAACCCCTCAAAGGATGTCTAAAGGTGTCCAAAAGGTCGGGGTATGTATGCGTAAGTATGCGTTTTAAATGAAGTTATAGATATTACAAGTTATAGAAGTTATAGATATTACAACCATAGCAACACTCGTGCGCTTTTTCTTTATGTCAGTTTACGGTACGTCGATAAGACATAAGGGATTTTAACTGTATTATAGATTTACATACAGGCTAACAATTATCATTTTTGTTGAGCAATACGAAGCTGAGATGTAAGCTAATGTACTGCACAATGTAAACAGAAATTAAATAAGTCTACTGAATAATTCACACACTCTGTACAAAGTAAAGTTCTGGAAAATCACATATTTGAACATTCTTTTCAACCTTCTCATACTCAGACAATTTTAACATCTATTCACACATAGCTAGTTCAATCCCTATTGTAGTGTTATTACGCAAATTAGTTTTGACACTTATGCAGTCACTGAAGTCAAATGCGCACATCTGCTTTGCACTGCTAGGATCCTAAAGTCTGATCAGAGACTATGTGGTGCTTTTGTGAAAAACTCCTATGACTTGTTTTAAGTTTACCCATGCAAACGGTCAACGTCACACGAAATCTGGCACATAACTGACATCTCTATTGTAAGTGATCGATCCACTGCGTCTGTGGATTGATCCTGCTCAAGCTGACCACATTGATTTTGGTTTAAGGTATTTTTGGAGATCATAAATACTAATGAGCTAAGGGGAACGACGTGGGAGAACGTGTCCCTTGAGAGAACCGTTGATAAATCACCTACGTGGAAGTGATCTATCCTCCAGAAAGTAGCAAAGAAGGGGTTTGGCACTTAAATGTTTCTAGATTATTATACTGTTTAGTGCACCATATATACATAAAATTGTATTATAGCCGATTGTATTTACAAATATTACATTATTACTGTATATTTTATAATAAACATAAATTAATGAATGAATAAATAAATACATACACACATACATACATACATCAATGGATGAATGGATAAATGGATGGATTAATAAATAAACATTATACAGTAAACAAAAATACATGGTCTCCAAAGAAAAGCTCAGTATAGTAGGCCTATAATAGCGCAGTCGATTGCGCATTTTAAAAAAAAATTTATTAATAAGGTAACATCAACTCCATACCTAAGTGATCTTTCATGTAATATCTTTGAGGCATGTTCTTAGCTGTTGGGCTGGAAAATTTCTATATCAATCACTCATAGTATCAACGATTTGCCATCAAACAGTTCGTTTGCTTTGTGTTAATGACCCTTCTTTTGTGCGTAATGAATCTTTGATCTCTGATATCTTTGATACTTCATCTCAACTCATGTTATGCTGGAACTGTTCAAAGGCACTTTGACATCAGTCAGAGTTGACAGTGCAGTGGTGGCGTTTGCACAGATGTGCAGGTTGTTTTGACTTTTCCTTCTTCGCTTTTTAGGTCATATAAATTTACACCTGGCTAAGGCAGCCAAGCGAAACTTTAAATCTAAGTATGACAGCAAGTTTTTAGAAATAAACTATGCTATGTTTCACAAAACAACAACAACAACACAATTTCAGTCTTTCAATTTAAGATTTTATAATTCAGCGTAGCCTAATACTGGCCGTTTCTTTGCTATTAATTGTTCAATTCACTGGCGATTTCTGAGTGAAAATCGTTTCTACTACACTATTTTTTTTTCAGTGTATAAACCAAATAGCAAATCAAGAAGAAGACACTTTTTGGCATACTACTGACGACACACAACATACACACCTTGAAGTCTTGTCTCTCTCCCTCTCTCTCTCTCGTTCTCTATCGAGCACCGCCCCTTTCTTTTCCTTTTTTCCTCCTTGGCTTCCACCTGCTTCACACTAGAGATTCGCCAGAGCGCGTCAGTGCGCGTAAACCCCGGGGAACGGAACGGATCGGTACACAGTGCGCATCCCTCTTCTTCATCCAACTGCACTTTTCTTTTCCTCGTTGTAAAGATTTGTACACTGTTCTCCACAATGCTGCTTTCTGCACTTTTATCTTAATCCATCAGTGGATTAAACGCGTGGATGCAGATGAAACCGATCATCAAAGAAGACCGAAGAAGAGGATCAAACGATCAAGGAGCTATGTTTCAAACAGTCATCTATAAAGGACTCGATTAGCATATGTCAAGAGGGCATTTACATAAGGGCCATATTTAGGCTGGTGTCTCAGAGCAGAGCCAGTCACATCCAGAGAGCACAAGAGGAGAGAAGCCGCATAAGCTTGTGTGCTGGAGTGCGTAAGAGAGAGTATTGGATACACAGGGGACCGGAGCAAAGGGGAGTAGCCTGGAAGGTCGAGAGAGCATGTGCTAAAACCAGAAGAGAGAGAGAGAGAGAATCGGATGTAAACACGCATTGACTGTCAAAGCCGCAAGCAGTGACTGCGCAAAACACTAGGGAAAGAGAAACCACAGGGGTTCTCCTCAAGGTAACTTTTCTTCGAGGGTCGGTTATGGGTGCAGTCGGCGAGCTGGTGGGCAGCTTCTCTCACGGCTTGGAGAGCTTTGCGCACGGGTCTCATTTTGTCCTCACGCCCCCCGGGGACTCCGGTGCTCTGATGAACGAGCACCTCGTCTCCGCCGAGCGCCTGTCACGCAGCACTTCACCGGACCTGACGCATCTGAAAGGGATCCTCCGCCGGCGGCAGCTCTACTGCAGGACCGGCTACCACCTCGAGATATTACCGGACGGTTCTGTGCAAGGCACGAGAAAAGACCACAGCAGATTTGGTAAGTATTATTCATCGTTGTTTCATTATTATTATATAGTCTATGCTGCTAGCACACTATAATAATAATAATAATAACCACACAACACTGTGTATTTACAAGCATATCCACAACACAATTGCACATGCAGTTCACTTATGTAAAGAGACTGACCAGTGATGATTATTTTAATGGTAAACTCTGAAATCAAATAAAAAACATATTATATGCATTATGCATATTTTAATAACGAAATTGCTGACTATTGGTACTTATGTAATTGCACTGTAATGTAAAATGTGATATTATCATGACGACAGTGATTATTATTATTTTCATAAACCTAACTGTCATACTGTGCTCGAATAACATTATAATATAGCAAAACACAGTGATTAAGTGTGAAAGACGTCATGAATTAAGTATAGGGCAGTTTGATGCCACTATTGCAGGTGCTTGTCCTGCTGTCTCAACTGGGAACTAACAGCTGTGCTTTTCTCACAGGTATATTGGAATTCATTAGCCTCGCTGTGGGGATGGTGAGCATCCGTGGTGTGGATAGCGGATTGTATCTGGGAATGAACAGCAAGGGCGAACTGTATGGATCTGTAAGTATAGCACATTTTCTTCTTACTGGTACTGTGCCGGCTGTATATTATTTTGAGTAATACAACAATTAATTTCATTCATAGCCTGGTCGAGCTTAACTGAGAGAGTGATTTATGGCGTAATTTCAAATAGCCTTTGGACACAGTTTATTCTTCCATTTGCAGTGTGGTTAACCCTTGCTTTGCCTCTTTTTCTCTTAGGAAAAGCTGACAGCGGAGTGTGTGTTCAGGGAGCAGTTTGAGGAGAACTGGTACAACACTTACTCTTCTAACCTGTATCGGCATGGCGAGCGAGGATCCCATTATTACGTAGCCCTCAACAAGGATGGGACGTCTCGAGATGGAGCTCGCTCTCGGAGGCACCAGCGCTTCACGCATTTCTTGCCGCGGCCTGTGGATCCAGAGCGGGTTCCTGAGCTTTACAAGGAGATACTAGGTCACAGCTGAAACCACTGAACCTTAAACCCAAACCCCCAAAAAAGCACCTGCATGCTCTTTATCTCCCTCGGACAAACCTGTCCCAGGAGAAAGCAGTGCAGACGGGGGCAAAAGAGGCCCCCTTTTGCGGGCCAAGGTTGGAGCATTAGCAGGAGATGGAAAGCCCTTGATTGGAGTGGCAGGAACCAAAGGTCTGGATAGTTCCTGAAGAACAGAACACTGTTTTGGATCCATTCACACCTGCTGTACGTAGGACACAAGGGATTTTGGATTAAAAGAGAGCACTGGTGGACTTCTTGCCAGAGAATGATGGACATCTACTACTACTACTGAAAATTCTAGAAGGCTTCTGAAGGAATTCTGTGAAATGCTTTTGAGATTTCATACTCTTCCAAACACTGGCATGGACAAGCAGGAGACAAACTCCTCCAAACATTTATCTTTAGGTCCTTTAATTTATGTTTTTTAAAGATATTTATTTTATATATTTATTTATTTTAAAATAATATTTTTTACAAGGATATATGCAAGATGTAACAGGACGTCATGAGAGCTTTATTTTCTACCACTATAGAGACGTGACTTCTAGAGATAGAACTACTGAAGAAAGTATTTTCTTATGAGTTGTTAATTTTCCGGATGTATGTGATCCACCTTGGTGTCCCCCCGTTTTTGTTTTCTCTCATGTCATTAAACCAGATCCTTAAGAGCCTGAGAATGTTCCAGAATTCACTGGGGAATTAAACAGTTCAAATGACTGCATTTTGTTGTGTCTGTCCTTTCAGTAGAAACATAAGGTCACCTGTCAGAGGTGAATGGTTATTGAATTTCTATTTGGAGAAAAAGGTCGACTTTTACGGAAACATAAGCAGGGACAGCAGGTGTCTACAGCTGTCTGATTCTCATTGATCCTGTTGCGGTGAAATGAAATCAAATGAGATTTTAATCGCCTAAAAGCCTAAACAGTTATGCTAAACAGTGCACGATAATACAATTTGCTAAAAATTTTCATTTCATGCTTCAGGATCTTTCCATTTCACTCTCTCTCTTAATACCCCGCTGTTAAATAGGCAACACAATGCTAACATTAAAACACAATCACCTAAAAACGATTTCCCCTCCCGTTTTCTTCCAAAGGCAACCTTCTCAAGTGACACCTTGGCCTGTAACTCTGGCCTGCGGGAAGCCCTTCACAAAGTGGCCTTTTCTTTTGCTAAGTGTCTTTTGAAAGCCATGCACTAGGAGCTTTCAAAGCTGTTGCAAAATGCAGGATTCTGGGATATACGTTTGCTTAGCCAGTGCAGGTGGAAGTTTTCTTAGCAAGCATGAGGTCATTTCAAGACAGACAGAGTCACGTGTGGTCTGAAACACCACAATTACGCTGACTGGCAAGTGCTTTGTGTTTTCCCATCTCTTATTTCTTTCTGTTTGATGCTTTTCACTTCCTTCCCCCCCTTATACGGTTGTGATTCATTGGCTTTGATGACACTCGATGAGCTGGCTGCCCGTCAATCTGGCTGTCTGTGAGAGTGAGATGACTGTATGTGTGTTTAAGGAAGGAAATTATACTTTTTAAGAAGTGTAAGGGGAGAGGTGGCTGTGGGGCACACATGCGTTTCCAAAATAACACTAGTATGAGGGCTCTCAAACACACTACAGAGAAATAGGGGATATGGAGAGCATTGTAACACTTTTTGTTTGCAAACTCTCTCACTTTGATATAATGTTTTGCCGTTTAAATTCTACAAATTAAAATAGTTTAGAAACATACTACATCTCTAAATAGTGTAAATGAGTGTCAAATACAAGTGCATTACTCTCACTATACTGGGGTCAGCATGGAACATAAAATTGTTGAAATCAAAGAAAACATACACTACCATTTAAGCTTTAAAAAAAAAAAAGAAATTTATACTTCTATTCAGCAAGGATGCATTAAACTGATCAAAATTATAATGTTACAAAAATATTTCAAATAAACGCTATTCCTTTAAATTCTATTAATCAAGAATCCTGGAAAAACTGTATCATGGTTTCCACAATATGTTAAGCAGGACAACTATTTTTAACATTAATAATAATAAAAAGAAATGTTTCTTCAGCACCAAATCAGTATTACAATGATTTCTGAAGGATCATGTGACACTTGGAGTACCTGGAGTAATTGCTGATGAAAATTCAGCCTTGCCATCACAGGAATAAACTACAATTTAAAATCTATTAAAATATTAAACAGTTATTTTAAATTGTAGTGATATTTAAGTATATTACTATTTTACTGCATTTATGATCAAATAAGTGCAGCATTGGTAAGGATAAGAGACATCTTTCAAAAACATAAAAAAAAAAAGAAAAAAAAAAAAGATTGGTATACATTAAAAGACAGTAGTGGCCAAAAGTGATATCTGAAGAGGATATTTCTCAATATTTTTGCCTACAAGATCAAAACATAATTCAAAAAACTAACTTGGTTAAATATTTAATTGTCAAAATTATTTGGCCAAAAAAAAAGCAAACTACATCTTATCATGGAATGAAATGAAAATGCACTGAAACACAAAGCTGACAGGAAATAAAACATACATTGAATACTAGAATATAATCAGTTATTAATATTTTGTTGGTTCTTCCTCGCTTTTGACAACAGCAGTCACTGTCCATGCCAATACAAAATAAGTGTTGCATGTGTTGTGAGTAATTTCTTTGGATGACACATTGTGTTATGATTGCAAATGAAACAACTGTGTGCATACATTAGATTTACACTTTTAGTTTTGCACAACCATGCAACATGCTTACAAAGTCCTTAATAATAAATGTTCTATGCCAGACATCACTAACTCTAAAAAGCAACAGTGCTAACTCTCACAATTGTGGCAAATGTAGCCTATAATCTTTGTGGTTCTATAATAAGCTGAATAAATCAAATGCAAAATTTCTTACTAAAAAAATGACATTAGGGTGAACAGAATTTTCATGATAGAACGATCCCTTTAAGGAATCAGATTACAGTGTTTCAGTTGTTGAGTGTATCTCAGCATTGTTTTTTTTATATGTTGAATAGCAGTGTGACAGAGAAATAAAAGGAGAGAGTTTGTCCTGTGTAAAAGTTCACAGCATAACTGTACAGCTTACATAACTGACATTTTGTAGGGTAGGAGTGTCTGAACTGTGTGTCTTTTCCCTTTTTGGGGGGGTGGGATGATACTTCTATTTGTGTGCGCAGGCATATCAGCAAGCTCTGTATGTTGTGTGATCTCTAAATCTCTGTGATGATGAGCCAGGGGTTCTCCTCACTGAGAGTCAGTCTGCCTGCACACAACCAAGCCTACAACACACACACACACACACACACAGGGGTTTTCCCCCAAGTAGAAACACTGCTACAGCTAAAGGATGTCGTGAGGCTGATGAGGCCAGATTGACAGATCTACTTTTCATTATTTTCACCTCAGAGAGAGAGAGAGAGAGAGAGAGAGGGGGAGATAGAAAGAAAGAGAGACACTATGTAGTCACATGTTTGTGAGAATGTGTGTGTGTGTGTCTGTGTGTGTGTTTGGACAGTTACAACACATGTGTTGTTCTAAGACAGGTGTTGAAGTGAGTGATCTTTCACCTGCATGTCTTTGTGGCTCAGGTAAAAACTGCACAGGTGTTCATGCGGCACGTCAAAGGGACACACACACACACACACACACACACACACATCGCTGATAATGAGAGAAGTGTCAGATTGTGGATACTTGAGAGAATTGTTATTCTGCTAGGTCATTTTTCCAATTGTAAACACAGAAATGGGAATATTAAACATTTTTGTTTGTAAATTTTCTTCTTATATGCAATGTGGAAGAATCAAGCTTTTATTTTTTTAGAGCTGTTTTAACATTTGGGAATTTGAAGACACTTTCTTAAGCATAATTCAGTTCTTTTATGTTGTGTTTTTTTAATCAGTCTGGATAAACGTCCAGTACCAAGTATTTTGTGTGAAAAATATAAATAAGAAAATAAACATAACATAAATGATGTTCAGACAACTTTATTCTTTCGATTGTATCTCCCAGACATCAACACAATTATCAGATAGAGACTTCTGCTTAAACCTTGTGCTTTTCAGATTCCTCTCCTGAGAAAAAGATCTCATATGTGTTTCTGAAAAATGTCACAAAGTGCAAAGACACCTGCAAGCCTGCAGTCACACAATCTTACATTTACTAAATTTCAGGTGAAAAATCTATAAGGCTGACATGTTAAATGCAATGTAATTGAGATCTCCAATATGCCTCATGAGCTTTGAAAGAGCAATGTCTTTGCTATAATAATGTATTCTTAAGAAAGCAGACTACAGAGAGAAAGTGAAAAATTAAATAAATGAGCGAGTTCCTCTTTCTGCCACAATGTTTGTAGATGTTTGAGGTTGACAAGCTCATTATAAGTGTAGTTATGTTCAGTGTTAACATAATCACTGTTTGTGCCTTCATATCTTCCAAGAAGGTATTAGCTGAACCACTAATTCATCTAGCGCGCACACACACACACACACACACACACACACACACACTTCAAAGCAAAGATACATGTTAAATCACTATGTTATTTATTTAATTAAATAACAGTTTTCTTGTCTCATTGTATGTAAGCTGGTGCTACCATGGTACATGCAAAATGTCCATGTTCTTTAAAATAAATAAATAAATAAATAAATCTACCATGATATACTGTTCCAAAAACATGGGTTTAATATAGATACTACCATGGTACTTTTTACTGTTATTTTCTGCACACACCATTTTAATGATTACACCCCTTCCTAATATGCAGTGTTTAAATGCAGTGTTTAAATCAATCTGCATTTATTTAAAATGCTTTGAGTAATTTTCTACCTAAAAATTTCATCAAGAAATCATAACTTAATATTTTGCCTTGAAGACGAATTTAATCCAAAATATTTAGACATACATAGCCTTACGAAGTTTCATTTATCCAAAGAGAGGAAGTTGGTTGTGACAGTGCCAGCTTTAGCATGATGG